TATATATATATTGGATGTTGTGAATAACCAGACATTGGTTTATTTAGAAAATATATATACATACATAGTTTGAAACTTTTCTATTTGAAAATATTCCTGGATTTGTCTGCCTGTTTATTAACTTTTCAGAAGATTCAGAGAGAAGGAAATGAGGCAAAAGTGTTAAACACCCTCACTTTCTCTGAGGTGATCAGTTGTTAGAGTAAGAAAAGACTAATAATCAGTCTAAAGAGATGAAAAGTGAAGCGAACCTGGGCTTACTCTTAGGCTAGTCACAAAGGGCTCTGGTCCACGTGATGCTCACCTTTACTCAGTGCTGTTTCCGTCGGTGTTACTGGAACTGGGTGTTGGGCTCTCCTGTGTTCCTTCCTCTCCTAGCCTGGGAAAACAGCCCCAGTTTAATATAGGTCCCTTCATTTACATTATGAATTAGTAATACCTACTGAAAATACCACATTTAAAAAAATTTATTAGGAACAATAAAAATATTAACATTGGGCACACCTGTCTAGAGCCCCAGTGAATTAATCCCTCCCACTACTGCCCCAGGGCCATTCCACATGGAGTTCCACAGTTGAGAAGCAGCTCCAGCCCAAATCTGTGCCTGCAACTTTGGGAATCTGCCCTTGGGATTGTTGTTAATGGTTATGGCAGAATAGACGATGACCAGCCACTGCCGATGTCCCACGGCACACAGGGTAGTTCAAGGGACTGGTTTTGTCCCATTCATCATAGCTGGTGACATTTTCTGTAGACTCCAAACTGCTTTTCTAATGCTTGGACTCTGAATGTTGCTCCAACATGAATGTACCTTTAATGCCACATAGATCTTCAGGCTTACCTTTGCATTTCAGGATTCCAGAATAGGAACAAAATTCAGATATTAAATCCATTTCTTATTATGATAGTTTTAGGAGCTCTTCATTGAAACCACTGTTCCCTCTGTCCAAAGTGTATTCATTAATGTTTATTTTTCCTGATGAGTTGTCAAACGTGCCTCCAAGTGTTCTGAAGAGGCTGTCTCTTCCAGTGGACCCTTAATTTACACTGACTTTTTTTTTTAAAAGATTTTATTTATTTTTTGGGGGAGAGAGAGCATGAACAGGGGGAGGGGCAGAGGGAGAAGCCGACTCCCCGCTGAACAGGGAGCACGACACAGCAACTCAGGACCCTGGGATCATGACCTTAGCCTACTGAGCCACCCTGGCATCCCTATTTACACTGACTTTTGAACTGTTTGAGCGTGGGGTGCAGATGGCACATGGAAGGCCGTGTATCATGGTGGTTTAGAGCTTAAGTCTCTAGAGCTAGACTTCTGGGTGTCAAAGCTGGTCGCCTCACTCATGGTCTGTGGGACCTTGGGAAAGGCCTGTTTTTTCTTATTTTTAAAAATGGGGATAATATTAGTATCTACATTATATAGGATTATTTTGAAAATTATATAAATAAATAAAGTGCTTGGGACAGCACCTGACACATAGTAAGTGCTCAATAAATATTAGCTCTTAATAGTATTACAAACTCACCCTATGATTCAAAAACTGTAAGTGCTTAGTGGTGATTACACTTTGGATTGAAGGACTTGAACTCTGGACATAGTTCCGCAAGATGCTGCTCTCTAGACACACCTGCATGTCACATAGAGTTAATTGAACAAGGACTTTGGGCATCCCCTTGCTGGTCTCCCTTGTACTTCTCAGAGTGAGGCGCACACCACTTGAGAAGGGTCATCATCAGTCCTCCCATGTCACCCCTGCAGGCTTTATCAGCGTGTGTCCTGAGAATGGGATCCAGACTTCCTGGGTGGGCCTTGGCTACTTATCTTTATTTGGAGCATGATTTCCAACATTGTGTCTGCTGAGGGCTCCCTCTGCTGGTACATCTAGCATGGATGCAAATATGTGGAATAGTAGCTTTTAAGCAGTTTTAGGCTTTTCGAGATGTTTGTATAAAAAAAAAACCCACACATTGAACTTTTTTTTTTTTTACATGTGAGTGATAGAAATAACATCTGTATTACTCTTTTTTGCCGTTTGCATTATGAGTTGGAATATTTTTGGTTTGATTTAGAATCGGGGCTATCATGGCATGCCAAAAAACAGTCATTTCTTCACCATAGTTATCAGGGACTGATTATTAGGTCTTAACGTACCAATATATAGTACTAAATATTTTAGAATCCTGTTTTAACAGTCTAAAGAATATCCATGATTTGGGGACTTAGTTAACTCTTAAAGTTTCAAAAGGGCCCATTTTCAAGTGGTGTCATATCCTAGACCCCCTTGGACGTTGTTATGGTGAGGGCTTAGTACACGTCAGGGAATAGTACCTTAGATTTATTGGCTGATTTATTATTTATTTATAATTATAATTTATCAATAAAATGTGCCATGATGTCCCTAAAATTGCATTTTAAAATAACTTTTTGGCTTCTTTGTGTTTTTTTTTTCACCACTATCTCTTTTCTTCCATCTTTCCTTCCCCCTCTTTGTTGCTAGGATCAAACAGCATAAATCGGGTAACAGCAAACATGGAAAATGGAGAAAATGAAGGAACGACTAAAATTATTGCACCTTCACCAATAAAAAGGTCAGTCGGTTAACTGAAAGAACCCATGTCGATATGCTATCACAAAAATGCTTTTTCCTGTTGGCAAGGTGAAGAATCTTTTTACTTTGATAGTTAATACTTTTGATCAAAATAGTCTGTGAGCCAAAGAATACTTTAAAATGCCAGTGGAGGGGCGCCTGGGTTGCTTAGTTGTTAAGCGTCTGCCTTCGGCTCAGGTCATGATCCCAGGGTCCTGGGATCGAGCCCCACATCGGGCTCCCTGCTCCACGGGAAGCCTGCTTCTCCCTCTCCCACTTTTCCTGCTTGTGTTCCCTCTCTCTCTCGCTGTCTCTCACTGTCTGTCAAATAAATAAATTTTAAAAAAAGAATGTCAGTGGAATATAAACAACAGGACCTGCCTCTCTCATTTGAAGGAAATGCTCCTGCTGGCACAGCATGGTGAACTCACAGTCCGCGGTCCGCATTCTTGGCAGTGAAGGGAAAATTCCACATGATTGTTAAAATGGCATGATATCATGGACTTACTCAGAGGGACCTGTGACATAAAGTAGATGATATTCATGTTTAATGTACTGTGTTCATCACCACGGTGCACTGAACTGTGGCCCTGGGAAGAGGGCTTATAGCATTTAGAGGCACAGGGCTTCCGAAGTCAGTGATTGCATATGTATGAAGAGTTGTCATGGTCCTCTGCATCAATTTTCCCAGCAGCATTCCCCAGTGGAAAGGCTTTCTCTCAATATATTACATGGATTGTTTCCATGAAAGATCAGCCTTGTTCTCTGCTAAGACACTGTTTCAGCGTCAGTTTTTCCTATCTCCAATTATGTTCACGGAACAGCATTTGAGAAATACAATGAGCAGCTTTCATCAGCTCACTTTGTCTATAGCGATAGCTCCCCACATCATGGAGAAGTCCAAGCAGTCAGAAATACGTGACCTTGACAGACGTCTTTGATCATCTGCTCCATCTTTTGTTAGTAAATAATGGTGTCTTCATTCAGCTGGGTTGTGGCTACATGGAGGAATACAGTTTATAATTTCCTAGCAAAAGAATTCTAAGATACGAGGATTCTCAGAGTTGTGGTGTTTTACCCCGGGTTTTGCTTACATTTTCTTTTGTTTAGTTTGGGGACACTCCCTTTATGGATTCTATTTGAGATGCCAGGTTCTTTGCCTTTGTATACACTTTAGTTGACTGTGCTTGCCTCCGTCAGCCTCACAGCTGTGGATAGAGTGTCCGCTTAATCTGTATGTACAGGGTACGCTTATGGTAAGTCCAACATAAGAACAGTAATCTGCCATGAAATTCAGATCCCAAGCCTTTTTAGAATGTACAGAAGGAGTTCAGTCCCCTTTACAACTGCATTCTTGCTGATAGGACTGATACCTGAAGGGCCACCAGATTTTCCCACTCAAGTTCCAGACGAGAAATGGCTTAGGGAGTGAATGCAATTAATCAGCCACCCAGGATTTCATTATTCTCTAACTTTCGCCTGCTCTCCCATTTCCCCTTTCATCTCCCTACTGCATTTCTCAGTCTCCCTCTTCGCTTTTCCCTTTTTTCTTCTCTGATTTATTAAACACACACACTTTCTACTGTTGTATTAAGTATCTACTGTATTTATTCTTCTCATGTCAAAAGTAAGATTTTACTTTGGGCATTTGATCTTCCAAAGATTATTTAAGTTTAATCAAAATAATGTATTGGTCAAAAAATAAAGCCTACTTACTATATGCTAATACAATGAATTAAGTGCCTATGTCAAATATATAACTTTTTAGGTTTATATTAATTTCTGTATGGGTGTAGTAGGATACAAGTTTATTTCCTTTTTTGAAATGACCTTGTCATTTTTTTCCTCTCTTCTTTGTTGGCTGTTATAAAGAATCCTGCTATGACCTGCTATGACCATGTTCAAGGACATTTATATAGAGGATACCTCAAAAAGCCAGGGTTAAATGTGGATTAGAAGTTAAGTAGCTCTATCTTTTCCTGAGGCTGAGACTCTGGGGATGTGAGAGATGATACACTTCCCCTCCCTCAGTGGTGGCCCAAGGCTTCTGATGAGTCCTTTCCTCTGTGTTTCCCCTGTGTGTCTAAAACAGTTTGTTGAGATTGAATAACAACTCAGTTATATTTACATTCTTAGGGCAGAAAGATGATACTAGGTCAGGAAATAGCATTTGGAAGTCATTCTGATTTGGAAGGATGAAGCCAAGATATGGCGGAAGCTGGGGGCTGGGAAAGATCGGTTTGGGTAGCCTGAACTTGTCCACAGCTGACCTACCTGCACAGATTTAGATCCGGAGCTGAAAAGAGGGAGCCAGCCTCATGAGCCCTCATACCCCAGCTTTCCTTCCTTGTCAACTTTCTTCTTTTCTTGCCTCAACCCTTGCCCTTGCTTCCTGTCCTGCAGGTGGACTCTCTTCAAAGTTTCCTAACAGTGGATGACCTGGCTTTTGTTGACTTAAACCAGTAATACTAGAAAAAAAGGTGGAGGGGGGGCCCAAAAGTACTTGCTGAAGATGTGAATTGTTTTAGGCAGCCACTTCATATTCTTTTTGGAATGAGTCACGGGTATAAATAAAAACACATTTTAAAACATTTGTTGAACAGTTTCACTGAAGAAGTCAATATGTGAGTTAACTTCCTTTTATTCTCCCTTTAATTTGTTTTCCATGTTTGTTTCTTTTTTAAATTAAAGCTTTAAGAAAGTAAAGAATGAAAATAGCCCTGATACGCAAAGAAGCAAATCTCACGCACCATGGGAAGAAAACGGCCCCCAGAGGTAAAGAGAATCATTGTTTTTCTAAAGGAGAACAGTAGAAATGGGATTAGTGATTGCAGCTCATTAAATAATGGAATCCAACTGCTTTGTGACTGGGTGTTACTAGCTATGGACAAGGCAGTCAGATTCCTAAATCAGCATGACGGAGAACTTTTGAAGTAGAAATCAGCAGGATGTATCCTAACGGGAAACTTTCTCCTGGAACACAGGACGGGAAACTATGCATTAAGACACTACCTGGAATGTCGTTATGATGGCTTAGAGTAAGAGAGTGTGTTTTTGAACTCTAAATGACATATTAATGATAATCCCCTCTATTTTATAGTCCTTAAAAAACTATACTTGAAAAGTGTATTTGAGGACTAATGATTCTTAGAAGAATTTTATTCACAAAAATATCCATATATTCAGTTTCTCTCTGTCCATGAATACCAAACGAGCAGCAGACCTGCATTATACCTCACTGGCTTTATAGTCGTGGTGATTCCATTCCGTATTTCCACTTTGTTTTCTGTTACATGGGCCTAATAATTGTACCTCATTGCTTGTGGTTGATCGGACGATTAGCTAGGATAAGGAATATAAAGCTTTTAGCTCAGTCAGTGCCTGGCATACGGTCAGTTTGCCGTAAATGCAAATTGTTATTATTACCATCATTTGTGTGTTCATTTCTCACCATTGAAGGCCAGTGAGAGATCCATTCCTGAAAGATAATGACTCTTAACGATTTGACTTGCCAGATCTTACCTCCCTTTTCTTTCAATAAATCTTGTCAGCAAAGAGAACTGTGTGCGCATGATCCAGTATATCCCTGAGAGGGGGAACACTTCTGTAGGTGGGGGCTGGGGTGTCTGCTCCTCCAGGGCCTCTGTGGGCATTGTTGATCTCGTTGACCCTTCCTCTTCTACTCCAGTGGACTCTACAACTCTCCCAATGACCGCGTGAAATCCCCGAAGTTCCCTTACACGCGCCACCGAAACCCCTCCTGTGGGAGCGATGACTCCGTACAGCCAACGAGGAGGAGGTGAGCTCAACATAGGCCCTTGGTTTTTAATTTTCAACAGAAGCTCTGGGTCCCAGTCACATTTTTGTCACAAGTTATTCTCATAATGTCATGACTGTCCTCCCAAGAATAACAGAAAGATTATGTGTGGTGTTTTTTTTTTTTTTTTTTTTTTTGAGATAAAATGGGCTAGGGATCCTGAAGCATTTCTCTTTAAACAGCCCAAGTTTCAGAGAATAATTTCATAAAGTACTGGTAGGAAACTTGCTTTCTGTACAGTAACTAAGACTGATAAGTTAAAAAATACACGCTATGTATCTATTTTAACAATATATATTATATAGTATGTATAATATGTAACATATATAATATATATTATGTTAGTGATATAATTTAATAATATATTAGTGTTATATTTTTATGTATCAAAGATATTAAATGCTCTGACCTGAGAAGACAAAATTACGTTTATAGGTAAATCTTAGCTGAGGCTTAGTACCCTGTTCTCCAGACTGATGTTGTTGCATACACTTGAGTAAAACCCCTTTCAAAACACAGGGAAAATGGATCCTGTTACATTTTACCCAGCAGGTCAGGTTGTTTTTGTGATTATATTTGCATGTACTTAATTTTTTTGAAGTCCATATCTAGAAGTTTTGGACTCTCTGAAAAGCAGTCTGGGCAATGTGACAGGTCCAAGAGAAGAAGACCTAGAAATGACCAGTGAAATTCATTTCATTCCTACTTCACAGAGACTGTGTTTTACTTTGAGTACCTACATAATGGTATTTTGTGACCTTTATAAGTATGAGAAGTTCATGTCATGTTCTCATAACCATCAAGATCACTGTGGATCAGGGAAACAGAAGCCTTTCTTTCTTCTCTGCCCTTATTGTTACTTACTTGCTGGTCCATCCCTGGTTCATTTCCTTTGGCTTCTGCGTTTCCCAGAGTCTTGTTCTCCATCTTTCTCAAACCAGGTCCAGCTTCACCAAAATCCTTTGATGGTTAAGGAGACAGAGGTCAACAATGTACCTTCACCTAGTAGGTCTGGAAAGGGGGAGCTAAATCATGACCACCAGTGATTAGATAGAACAAAGGGATAATAGCTGACATTTATTATGTTCCAAGGACTGAGCAAAATTGCTTGCTATATATTATCTGATCCTCATAATAACCCTGTGGAAGATGGCATATATATCCCTCAATCACTAGGCATTTCCAGCAAAGAGGGATTAAGGCAGGGAATTGCATGCATTTGAAGCATTGAAGGAACTAAAGGCGGGGAGGTGCACCCTGAGATCTGGGTGCTGTACTGGCCCTGGGCTGGCAGGATGAAAGCTATTTCCGCCTTGGAGCTGGCCTTCCTGAATCCGTGCTTGCTGCCGACGTGGCTGTGGGCACCATCACTGTAGCAAATACTCTTGCTGCCACTGCCAGAGGGACCACCGCTGTAGCTGATGCTGTGGGGCTCCTACTTCTCAGGAGAGCAAGACTGAATGCCATGGGTGTGTCAGAAGCAGAACTGCCTCCCCTTCTCTCCTGCCTTCAGATCTCACCTGAGCACCACTCTCTGAGTGGAACCCAGCTGGCAAAGGAGTCTGAGAAAATGTAGTTTTCAGGCTTCCAGTCTTGACAAAACGGGAGATTATTGATGGGTTGGGGTGGGGCTGCGTACCAGTGGAAGGTACTTGGCCTAGATGAGAAAACGGAGGCTGGGGGGCTGCAGGTAACTGTCCTTTGTGATTTGGATCCAGATCTGTTCATCTGTAAAAGGCAGGGATAATAAATCATCATTTAAATATGGGGGTGGAGATTTCCTGCCCTCCCTATTAAGGACTTGTTCAACTTGGACAGCACTTAAAACCCAGGCAATACCGCAGGGAAATACTTTAAAGTGCATTTGTGTGTGTATGTGTGTTGAGGGGGCATGGGTAGTGGGAATCACTAAATATTTTTAAGAATTTGGCACTGCATGATTATTGTTAAATAGGTTTTTATAGTTTTTCGTCCTTCATTACTAGTATACTTTGACAGCATTCCCTAAATAATATAATTGCACATGTCGAGCAGATGGTCATTTTGATTTTAATATACTTGGAAATGAATTTATCAAGTTTTGCTAAAATATACCAAAATTTACATTAGTTTTTTCCCAAACTAATTGCTTGAAATAGTCTGGAGCATATACATTCTGAAATCTAGACTTCATGCCTTCTATATTGAGATACATTTTTTTGTGTTGGCTTTCTGTGAAATACAGATGAGTAATTGTGGTGAGTGGATACAGGATCCTTTCTTTGGCACAGTCCAGGGGAAAGACTGTTTTGATTTATAGGGAAGAGAATCTTTTTGTCCGAGTAGCCATAGAGCCTTCTGTCTGGTTATGTGTACCACTTGAAAGGTCTTTTATTGGGCATGAGTATTTTGAGGAGACTAGCCATTGCTACATGCCGGCAAAGAAGAGCTAAAGCTCATTCTTTGTTCATTTCCACTGTAAATGCCCTCTGAATGTCCCTGTCCTTGTCAGTCTTGCTTTATCTTCACAGATATTTACCTTGCCCCCAGGCACAAATCCCTGCAAGGCTAGAGTAACTCTGACATTTAAAACTGAGATTTGTCAACACCATGACAGAATCTCAAGGACTTAAATTTAATAATAGGAAATTCTATTTTGTGATGGATGCCAGAATAACATGTTTTGCAAAAGATACCAAAATTTTATATTTTGCCAGTTGTTTGTTATTAGATGGGTACATCTTTCAGATTCTGGCTGAGTTTAGAACACTGGTCCTTAACCTTTTTGGTTGACAGAACTCTGAGAATCTGATGAAAGGTTGGATCATTCCTTAGGGGGGAAAAGTATATAATTAAATAAACATACACACTTTCATATAATTTTCATGGTTCATGGAGACCCTGAAGCCTGCTTGTTTTAAACATTCCTGTTCTAGAAAAAGCCAGCCAGCCTACTTTCTGATTGTACACTTTATTTTCACCCCTACCCATCTTTACACTCAGAAATGTCTATTGAGTGCCTACTTTATGCAGGCCCTGTGTTAAACAGCACTAGAGAAAGTCCCTGCCCTTTGGGAGTTTACAGTTTGTTGGGGAAGAAATACATGAATCACACAAACGCATGTGCACTTACGACTTTTATATATTCTTGAGAGTTATGTGGTGCTTAGGGGAATTAAAAAAAAAAAAACTTTATCGAAACCTAACATGCATACAGAAAAGTACACGTGTCCTAAGAATAACTGTTTGATAACTTTTACCATCCAAATACCTGTATTACCAGCACCATGATGGGAAGTTGTGCTGCATTGCTGAGTCAAGGAGGCCAGGGAAAGGTTCTCAGAGGCTGGATGCTTGAGCTGGAATTTGAGACAAGAACAGGCAAAGAGAGGTGAAGGAGCTAGCAAGTGCAGAGGCCTTAGGGTGGAAGGGAGTGGGGAATAAATGAGTCCAGAGAGAAACACCTCATAGGGCACCTGAGGATTTGGGTTAGGCCCAGTAGTTTTTAGAAGGGCGCGGATTACAAGATCACGTTTGTACTGTGTAAAGATGAGCCTTACTGTCCTGTGGAGAAAAGGTTGAAGAGAGCAGTAGGGGAAAGAGAGAGCCAGCCAGCAGGCTACCATGCGAATCCTGGCAAAGGCTAATGGGAGCTCGGGCCGAGGTGGTGATGTGGAGATTTAAGGAAGTGGATATTTTTGAGACCTGTTGGGAGGTAAAATCAATAGGGCTGGGAGGTTTGATATGACAGGTGAAGGAGTAACTGATGTCAAGAATGAAAGCCAGGCTTGAAGTGTGATGCACTGAAATAATAATCACTAGGACATTACAAGCTTGAAAGGGACAATTGTGAGTGGTTTTTGATATATTGCATTTGTGGAATCTTTGAGAAGTCCAAGTGCAGGATTCACATGGATTGTTGGATATAAGTCTGGAGATAGATTGGCTATTCGCTAAAATTTAAATTTCTTTTTTTTTTTTTTTAAAGATTTTTTATT